AGAGAATTGAAATAGTTAGCATCCAGATAGCGCAGCGAGCGCTAGTGCTAAGTTTACGTATATAGTCACGTCCAAGTAACGTCCGCATCACAACCCTTGCCAGGTGGTATATTCCCCTGTTCACATATCAATACTGATTGTAAGCCCAGATCATAGCTATAGACCTGACTGATAGCATATAGGTATACAATCCTACAGCAAACCCACTCGAACGACAGGTTATCTCACTGGGAAAGCAGGAAAACCCGTGAAGCCTGACCTCTGTGTTTATTGGGGTTGATTCCTCGATAAGCGCGGTAAAGAACGACAACGTCCATCCCAACCCTTCTAACCGTCTGTATGCCTATGTTGCACCCTGCATCCTTCTCTATGTCGCCTTTCTTGATTGCATCGCGGAAATGATCGGCTAGCGCTGCATTCGCGATGTTGGGCGGCACCCCGACCTTTCCTTCGGGCAGGTCGCCGCCACAGTGGGTGAATAGCACTTGGCGGGCTAGTATAGCCTCAGCCTTGCGAGCCTGAAAGTCGCGGTCAGAACCCGGTGGAGTGGGTAGACCGGCGACGACAGCGTCGAAGAAGGCCTGGGCGTCCATGGGCTCCTCCGAGTTCGTCGCGGGTGTGGTCGGGTGGGCGTGCGTGCACTGCGGGGGGTTTTCGACGATGCTAGTTGTTAGGCGTGTGAAGCCTTCTTCGAGCTTGTCGTCGATGTGTTGGCCGATCTTGTCCGTGTATGCAATGAGGTCGAGCCTCTGGTCCGAGAGGATGAGAGTGACCAGCTCGCCAGCTGACGCCGCCGCCGACATCATCTCGCTCTTCTTGATCTGCCCCGTACCAAGTATCCTAAGTGCGCCAGCAATCGCCTCCAATGTGATCTCCGGTTCCGATCTCGGAAGCAGCTTGAAACCCTTGAGTACGTCCCAGTGCTGCTTCGCTCTATCAGAGCTCAGCAGTCCTGCGGACTTCAAGGGTACGGCTGGGCTCGCCGCCGGGGGGGAACTTGCAGGTGGTACCGGCGCGGCTCTCGGCTGAGGCGACGGGGTGGCCGGCCCTGTCTCTGGTGGTGTTACCGTCCCAGCCGGTTGTGAGCTGGCCGTCTCGGTGGGTTCGGTCGGGTCTGTGGGGGATGTGCTCTGAGGCGCGCTCGAGCAGGAATTATTAGTGTGGTCAGCATTATATGAACGTATCGTATTGTAGATCTGCTCGCGACGAGACTGGCGAGATGCCTTAGAAGATGCTTCCTTGGGCGGTGGTGTTCTCAAAGGGATGCGGCTTCCCCCGCGTTTGGACGCCGCAGTGACAGTTACGCCCGTAGGAGAGCGTAGTACCGTAGGGCTGTCCGCCAATGCGGTATTTCTGGCCGACATCTCCTATACTACTTAGAAGCTAGGGCGTACCTGTACCGTACACTACTTCTAAGCGTGGGAAAAAACGGAGATGATGGTGGTTTTCCAGCATCCAGTTCTCTTTTGACTTCTTGATCCCTACTTCACTTGCGTAGTCTTGCCTCGTCTTATTACGATCGTACTTGCAAGATGCAGATGATCACACTCCCGAATCACCGGGGTGAGCAAGAATTAGCATGCAGCTACGGGCGTTCTGATACAGGTATATACAAGACATGGTATAGTGACACAGTCTGATCAATCAAAAGAACGATAAGGAGGTAGTGCTACGATCCACATGCACCCAAACATTACACATCGCGAGCCTCCTGTTCACAAGAATGCGCTTGATCGGCGCGTCGCAGCTCATTCGAGTGGAAAGCAGATCTAGCAGCGCAAGCTCTATCGATGAGCCATGCGGCTGTTTGCTTCCGAGAAGCGCTTCATTGAAGTCCGCATGCAAGATGAGCGTATCGAGGTGAGGGAAGAGCGCCGGGGAGCGACCGTCGTCCGTAAGCCGAGAGAGCGCGACGAACAGTTCGAATGACGCTGGATACGAGCACGACAGGCGTCGTACGTCCTGAGCTGTAGAGAATAGACGGATCCAGTCTCCCGGTTCGTGCTCTAGCGCTTGTGTGTTTGCCGCGATGTAGACGGCGCGTAAAGACGAAAGGGTGATTGTGTCGATGAACTTGAGCACATCGGTATCGGCGTCGTGCACATGCCTGCTGCCGTGAGTGGTATCGGTATCCCAATTCTCGTTAATGGATTGATATGATCTGTCGGGGTCGGGAGGCATCCGGTGAGTCTCGACGTCGGTGCGCCTAGTCCATGAATGTTCTTTGCTCTCACGGTAGTGCACGCTGACAGTATGCTGGGATAGCATCATCTCAACAGGATGGTATGCATCGTCCAACGCATTCGTGCAGGTGATAGGCAAGAGAAACGCTCCGTCATCCATTGGGCTCCCGAGAGCGAGATGGACCTTGACGACTGTCATCCGGGGCACGCAGAAGTTATTCCAAAAGTACTTGTAGTCATCGCTGTATGAACCACGGCAATCACAGATGACCGAGAGCTTTCGTAGATGTGGGATGTGATAGGGCTCGGGAAGGGGTAGAGTCTCGCCAAATGGCTCGTCATCGACCCACGCTGGGACGGGGAGGAAGTTCCTGAGTGCAAGTTCTTGAAGTTGAGGCAGCGATGCTAGGACGTCTTTGAAGCGGGGCGCGTCTGTCCGATATGGAGTGCCAGTCAACGATTCCACGTAGTCAATCGCGAGATGAAGATGCGTGACGCTGCTGGGGAACGGAAGTACTGTCTCCCACTCCGGATAGCACCCGCGGAGGGAGACACGTCGGAGAGCAGTGAAGCCGGACAGGTTGTATACGCCCTTGTCAGGCTCGAGCTGACACCACCCGTCGCATTCGGAGATGTCGAGGTCGACGATCAACTCCGTGAGGGTGAACCTGGATGGCCAAAGGGTGCGCAAGGCGGCCGAAGTTTCGTCCAGGTCGCGCGAATTGATGCACACCGATTCGCTGCGTTTCATGATTGGTTCACACAGGTAACTGCCGACTGGTACGCCGCCGCGATGGAAGGCGCCAGTATCCACAAGGAGCCGTAGTGGCAACTTCCCTGCGCGGCGAACAATATCTGCTAGCATCCAAGTAGGTAGATGTGGGCAAGCTATTTTCGTCCACAACGCGGGCGTACTGAGTGCCGTCTACATAAGCAAGAGGTCAACCAAGGACGTATATGCGAAGACAGAACTTGCTCACTCGTCTCCAATAACTGCATACGCGCGTGACATTGACCCAACCAAGGTCGAAGCAAGTTTTGCTGCCTTCCTGGACGTAACGATGCGGGTGCCAGCCTTTCTGTGCGAGGGCGAAGATTGTGGATAGGACCTCTGCTGGCAGCGCCGCAGCGCCGTGGGTTGCGTTTCGGTACTGGGAAGCTATGCGCCAGTACTTCTGAAACATTCTGAACTCCTGCGCGATCATGCGCGACCGTACGGATGGCCCGACGTTGAGTTTCCGCGTCGCGAGAGGTGCAAAGCGCGACTGGATGAACGCGGACCACGCGTCCCTGTCTCCATATGAGCTTAGCGTCGGTCCAGGGTTGCCGTCTTGAACACTCACTCGGACGTACGAATGAACGCGAACTCGTCCCATGAAGTATCAGTATTCCCGAGAGACATAGTGGTGGTGGATGGACACGAACAGCAGTCGAACCTCGACCGCAGTCACGGATCATTTTGTGGCACCCGATCAATCACCCTGCTCAACGCTCTCAGCTGCTCTCAGTCTGAATCCTTCGTGGACATCATTCGCTCCTTGCAACTTCGCCATGCATGCAAGTGCCCGGTCACTTTGTTCGCCATTTGACTTAGTACATGTGTTGAGGGAAGAGCTTCTCCAACCCAACTCCAACCGGTCATTGCCCGCCCCCGTCATAACATTCTTTGGTAACCTCTACGGAGGGTCGTTCAATAGACCACTAGCATGCATTGCTTGATGTACACCAGCTTCTCGATGTCCACGCCTTCGGTATCATGACTATCAGTACGAGCTATGTCACCATGGAATCACGTCCAAGCTACGCACCCTGCTCCGGCTCTCCCAGCCAATCGCGCAGAACCTGATCGTCCTCGGAGCCATTGCCCGTAGTCCCGCGCACGTCCTCGGGGAAATCACGATCTTGCACTCTCAAGTACCCGGTACGCTGTACTGCTTTCCAGTTACAAGCACAAAAGACCCCCTCGACGATGTCCGTTAGGTAAGGGGAGATATGCCTGACGCGATTCCCCACGGGCAGACGCTTCTTCCTCGCCTCGTCCATCTTGAACATGACGAAATCCACAAGCGCTTCCGTATCGAGAGTGCCTTCGACGCCTCGAGAAGGGCCAGGGCCGTGGTCTTCGCCTGGCGGTGGGTCGAAGATGCCGGGGTGCTTGTTTTGTATCCATGCCTGCACCTCGTCACTGGGGATGACATAGCCCCCGACTTCGTAATACGATTGGGCGCGCTTATACGCTTGTTCGCCCTCCTTCAAGGCGTCGACGAATACCATGTCGTCGGTTACAACGTATCTGCAATCACCGGTGTCGACTGGAGGGGCCAAAGCAGATGAAATCGTAGCGGGCTGACGCCGCAGTGCGTCCGGGCCGACAGCAAGCTGGCAGGAAGGGTTGTAACTCGCGTCGCTCATATCGGGACGATGATGCTGTCCTGGAAGATACCTTTAGTGGGACTGGTTAAGTACTTCATCTGGCACGACGTTGGCGATCACCGTCAGGCAGATTCGGCTACCGGCGGCCTGTGATCGTCGAGCGAAGACGTCATATAGACGGCCTGTACAGCTGTGCTTACTCCCAGACGAATGTGCACGGCATAAGGATCATTGCCGGCGCCGCGCTTCAGCCATCACTGCAGTATGAGAAGGACATGCCCAGCATACGATTTGCATAGCGGTAATGGAAGGAGGGAAAGCATGTCGAAAGCCTAACTACATACAGGCATTTTGGTGACCCGAGCCCAGTGTACAACAAGACAGGTAGAGATACATCTAGTAGACGTAGCCGAGGATCTTGCCACCGACGTTCTTGCGACGGGCCTCCTCGTGGTCGAGGATACCGGACGAGGTGGTCTGTATCAATTTGTTAGCACGCATTCGTGATAGAGATGGGGAGGAGGGACGCACAAGGATGATCTTGCCGAAGGAACGGGCGGGGAGGAGCAAGTTGACCCAGTTCTCGATCTGGCCGACCTGGACGTTGAAGCGCGGGGAGATGACACCCGTCTTGTTCAAGCGGCCATTGAGCTGGACGACGATCTTGCCAGAGCGGTGGTCGTCGACGATCTCGAAGTCGCCGATGTAGCCTGCAGAGCGCAACTTGTATCAGCGCACTGCTCACGTGGACGTAAACAACAATGATGGGGAATGGAAGGGATGTCATCTTCGTAGTGAACTCAGATCCGTAGGAGTGTAGGAAGTGCGTTGTAATGGTTGATTGAAGACAAGTGACAATCTTTCGGAGCGTTAAAACGAGGGGCGGGTGGAGGCAGGACCTCGTCGATCGTAGTTATCACTCCGATTATATTCGTGTACGAGGGCGAAGACCAAGGTATGTGGGAGGATACGCACCGTGGCGCTGCATGACGGAGAGGAACTTGACGGTGACCTTGGAGGCAGGACGGACAAGGACCTGGCGCTTGCCACGGCGCTCCGCGTTGACAATGTTGTTCTGAGAATACAGGTCAGCTTCCAGCTCATGTCAATATACTGGATAGACATACCAAGCAGTCGTTCTTCAGAGTGTACGTATCAGCAAGTAGTATATAATAGAATATATAGGCCACGCACAAGGACAGAGACGCGGACCATCTTGAAGTATACTTGGCGGGTGAGAGGCGGGTAGGTCTGTAGACAAAATAAGCACAAAATTGCTCGTCCGAGTGTCGCGCAAGCGCGAGTCAGGACGAGCTTCAGCGTATATTACGCCGCCAGCCAGTATAGTCCGTCGTCCAAGCGCAATTCCGCATTTTTAAATGTCTAACCTTGACGAGCGCCGGGCAGCGAGAGCGAGCAGAGGGTCTGAGGCAGCGACACGACTTTGCGTAATTCCACAAGTCCGACTGCCCCGCTGTCAACCGGACGTGAGAAGGCGAGGCCAGAACTGTAAAGCATGTGACGCGGTGATTGCCGAAGCGCTCTTCGCACGCGCGTGCGGCGTCTGCTCGTCGACCAAGTGTTGCTCGCCGCCGTCCCTGCCGTCCCGCTCGCCGTCGCCACTAACTCCCTCCGCCAGTCGTCAACATGGTGTGTGATGCGAACGAAATGCTGGAGGAAATGCTGACCGGATATTGTGTAGGGTCGCGTCCGTACCAAGACCACCAAGCGTGCCTCGCGCGTTCTCATCGAGAAGTAGTGCGTACTTTGTTTCTGGGGTATATTGAACTATTGTACTGACACATTGTACAGCTACCCGCGTCTTACTCTCGACTTCCACACCAACAAGCGCATCATCGATGAAGTCGTGCGTGCAATCAATATATCGTCCTCGAGTATAATATATTAATCGGGAAATACAGGCTGTTGTGCCCTCAAAACGCCTGCGCAACAAGATCTCCGGCTTCACGACGCACTTGATGAAGCGCATCCAGAAGGGACCCGTGCGCGGCATCTCGTTCAAGCTGCAGGAGGAGGAGCGCGAGCGCAAGGACAACTACGTCCCCGAGGTCTCCGCACTCGACATCTCCGTCAACCCGCTCACGATCGACCCCGACACTAAGGCCCTCCTCGCCGCCCTCAACTTCGACTCCATCCCCGCGACCGTCGAGACGCCCGTCATCGCTCTCCCCGAGCGTGGCCCGAGGCGGGACCGCCGCACCGTCCCCGGTGCTGGTCGTTGAACGGCCATTATTCGTGTTGTTGTGGGCAGGGATATGCGCTATGGGTATCGATTATGCTTGCCTTCCTGTACTTCTTACACCAAAACTCCATGCATCGCATTTCAGACCGCACAATCCTCTGTATTCGTGTTGTCGTCCAGATCGAGCGTCGCCTGTCGAAGAGGGCTGCGGTATGCAGCCCGTCTGTGAATGCATCTCTGCCGCCCAGCCTGTGGCGTTCCCGCTTCCCCGGCTCGCTAAGGTACTATCACGGCGTTCACCCATTGTACGCTCGTCCGAGCACCGGGACGTCATACACTCTATCACGTAGGTTTCGCTCTTGTGTGCATTCCCGCAAGACAAGACTCATAGAAGAGCGCGGGAATATCGCCAACATGCAATAGAGCGCAAGGTCTCAGGCTCCCTCTTGTCTCGATCTATCATGGCGTCTTCTCGAGGTAGCGCAGACTCTGGCATGGAGACAGCAGAGTGAGTCTGGTCATAAAGTCGGCGGCTTCTTATATCTGACCGAAGGTATAGAGAGGCTTGGGGGAACCTATTCAGGTCACGCTTCGAACCTTCAGCCGATATCGCTCACCATGCGCCGGCTGTAGAACGCAAGGCCCTCTTACAGTCACTCAAGATTGAGTTGGACGCCCTCGAGAAGTACAGCCGCCGTGCGAACGGGCTTTGGAACGCGTATGTGCGCGCGAGCAGCCTCCCCGCGGAGATACTTGTCATCATCTTTGACTTCGTCCGCGCGAGTTGGAAACCGAGCACTTCATATAATCAATACAACCATCTAACGTACGACTTGGGCTGGATCTATGTCTCTCACGTATGCAATCCCTGGCGTCAGGTAAGCCATCCCCTCTGGGCTTCGTCTCCATGCTTGAGTGCTTCGTCGCTCACTCCTTTATAGGCTGCACTGGGTACTGCGAGCTTGTGGAGCAGGTTTAATATCCTCTCTTTGCCTCCTGGCATGAGGACGGTCTCGAGCGCTCCTTGGGACTACCTCTCGAAGTGTCTATTCGTCTCGGCCTTTCAAATCTGCCTCCGATAAGTGCCCCGCGTGCCATCAAAGACTGCTTATGCGAGCCCGTCTTGCCTCGTATAAGGGGGCTTGACATCTTGACATACATGCATATCTTCGAGAGCTGGGTACCGATCTTGACGCGCCACATCCCCTCACTGCGTGAACTCGACATCGATCTATCTCGCACTCAGGACGTCATGTTGATGGAGAGCCACTTGTTCGGTGGCCAGCCTCTGCGACAACTAGCTCGCCTCTCGCTGAAGAACTGCATCGTTCCACCAAAGTCCAACCTGCTCTCCACCTCTCTCACACACCTTAGCCTCGCTATGGGAGACTACGCCGATTATGAGCCTGAGTGGATGTCGACGGCGAAATTCAGGTCCCATCTCAAGTCCGTACCCAACCTCGAAGAACTGCGTCTGAGCGACGTACTGCCTTACCACGACAGAGAAACAGTAGAGCCGACGTTCTCATTCCCGCCGACGTTCAAGAAGCTCCACGTTCACTGCTCCAACGAGCTTGTCTCCGAGCGCTGTTACAGCCAGTTCTGGACCCATTTTCGGATCCCGAACACGGCCGTCGTCGTCTCTCTCGTCTACGATCACTCTTCAGGCTTCAGGGCGTCCCAGGCCCTCAAGCCTTTGGTAGAACTGGATCCCCTCGACCCTCCCCCGATGGAGATGTGGATATCCCAAACGAGCATGAGGATATGCTTCGGCGAACGGCCCCGAGACGAGTGGACCAGATGCTTGGTCATCCCGTCACCCGCGGACATGCGCGCTTCAGACACATGGGAGGGCACGGGCGGAAGTAGAGCCCTTTACACGGACGGGTTGACAGCGACAGACTATGTGTCCCACAAAGCCTTCGACGTCGTGCGGGCCATCAACTTCTCGCTCGACGCTGCCGAAGCGTACGATACCCCTACGGAGCCCGCGGGCCTTTGGATCTCAAAGTTTGATACGAACGCCCTCGTCAAGCGTATCTCGGCGCCATATACCGCATGCGGGAAGCTTTTCAACGCGCTAGCGCAGCGCGACACCATCACCGGCGCTCTACGGCTGTTTCCGCAGCTCGAGGTCATCGTCTTCTCTGACCAGACAACCGTATCTGGCGCAACTCTCCACACCGCGTTGGACATGGCGCTCCTCGATATGCTTGAGGTGCGGCGCGAGGTGGGCAAAGCGATTCGGGAGCTGTTGGTCGCGCGGAAGATGGCGGATTGGAGTGTGTGGGAGAACGTGGGAGAGGGGACGTATGTGACCTTTTTTGACTGATATCATTCTGTAACTGTACGACTTGAAGCCCGTCATAGTTTGACTGTACGCGCGCGCGCTTTAAGCTGTAGTAGTACCATGTTCACGACTTCTATATGCTTGGCCGTCATTTGGTGCTAGCGACCGCGTGTGGCGTGGGATTTAATTCCTCGCACGCGTCCACAGGTGCAGTGCGTGCTGGTTCGTTCTTCGCCTCGAACCACCATGTCGTCTACCGTTGGGAAGAGCGTATCCGCTGTGCCAAGGGCTCTGTCCTTGCTATCTCGTACTCCTAGCTGCAGCTCTCCTCCGCAGGAATGAGCCCTAAGTAACCCCGGTCCGAGCCTACGGCGCCTTTGCTCCCGCTGGTAGTATATGAATCCGTCGCCGCAGAAAATCTGCCCGCCGCGAGCGACCATGTCGCCTTCCCTGAAAGCTCAGGCGCAAGCGACGGAGTGAGTCATACCCCGCTGATATCGAGGCGTTGCTCGCCTGCTAACGTTCGCTCCAGTGCCACATGGGAAGCGATCTTCAACGCTCGCTTGAACGCTGTCATTGGCGGCTCCTGTGCGACGTTGAACGAAGCGCAGGCACAGACGCTTCAACTCGAGTTCAATGCGATACAGAAGTACACTATTTTGGCAAAGCGGCGTCGCAACGCCTGCATGGGCGCTTGCGGGCTACCGGTGGAGATTCTGGCGAACATCTTCGCATTCGCGCAGGTGGGCTGGACACCGTCTCTGTCCTCCCGCGCCGACATGAAGTATGACTTCGGCTGGATGAATGTCACCCATGTTTGTTATCTCTGGCGTTCGGTGAGTGGCCATATGATTTATGGAACTGGGCATAAATACTGATGAACTATCACACAGGCTGCTATCGGCACCGCTCACTTGTGGCCCGACATCCGCATCATGACGCTTCCCCCCAGAATGGCAACGGATATATTGCGGCGTTCCCAGCGCTTACCGCTCTCCGTCTACGCCCATAATCAGCGACACAAGCACTACAAGGAGAACGGCAGCCATGCGCTACTCCCCCTCTGGCTATGCGAGCCCATTCTCCCCCGCATTGAGAAGCTCAGCTTCTATTGTGAGTGGGAGGAGTTTCAGGACTGGCGTTTGGCACTTCGTCGACCCATGCCCTCCATTCGGGACCTATCCATCGATGTTTTTGTCGCCGATTGGCATGAACTGGAAATCTCGGACGATAACTTCCTAGGCGGCGAACCTATCCCGTCGCTGAAGCGACTCACGCTCGGAAGTATCGCTCTCCCTGAGACGTCACCCTTGTACTCCAGTAACTTGACTTTCCTCAGTCTCTCTACCGGGCCAATGATGGAGGTGGGGATGAGCTTACCCACGACGGCGACGTTTCGGTCTCAGTTGCTGCTCATGCCCAATCTTGAGGAGCTTCGCCTGAGGGATTATCTTCCAGAGCCTGAGTCCGAGATATCGGTGCCACACTTCCTCTTCCCACCCGCGTTCAAGAAGCTGCACGTCTTCGTCTCCAAGCCGGACATCATGTACACTTCCTATCTCGACTTCTGGAGCCAGTTCCACACTCGATTCACCACAGCCGTCGTCGCAGTTGTCTCAGTCGAGCTCACTACACGCGGCATCTTCATAGCTGCTGCTGCGTTAGCTCACTTTATCAAAAGCGGACCGCAACCGCAAGAATTATGGCTTTCTCAGGCGGCAATGATGTCGCGCTACAGTGAGCGACCGCGCGAAGCATGGGGGACCCGGTGGGACCCCAATGCTGACTATCCCGCCGGACAGACATCGTTGGCGGACTGGGCCATCGATGCGCGACAAGGGCGGCGTCTGCACACCGGAAGAGCTCTGGCGAGCGCGTTTCAGAGCCGCATGGCATCGGCCTCGTTGAGCGCCATCAACTTCTCGGGCGGGGCCGTCACGGCCAACAATGGCGGGGATGACCCTGCGGGTCTTTGGCTGTCGAGGTTCGGCGGGCATCGCGCTGTGAAGCGTATCACGGTGCCATACGTCCTCTGCGAGAAGTTGTTCAACGCGCTCGGGCAAAAGAGCGACGACGGTGAAGCGTTCAAGCTGTTTCCCGCGCTCGAGACGATCGTGTTCTTCCACCGGGACGGGCTCTGCGACAAAAAGCTGCGCATCGGTTTGGACGTGGCGCTCTTCGATTTGCTCGATAGGAGGCGTGAGCGCGGGACGCCGCTGCGGGAGCTCTTGGTAGACGGTGCGGTGGCGGATTGGAGAGTGTGGGATAATATCGGCGAAGGGACTAGTGTCTCGTTTTTCTAGTGTAATGTCTCGTGTAGTTGCTGTGCTTGACCGTTATAAGCATGAAATATTACAAGCCTCTTCGATCCAAAGTGTTGGTAGTTGTCGTATTGTACGGTAATAGCGCGTGGGAACCCTTGTCTCCCGGATCAATAATTGAATCGCCCAAGCTTTGCGATCCGCGTGTGGCTCGTCTTCGACTGTCATGTTGTCGGCCAATGGGCACTACTATCACGACTCAGTACCCGTGACCTCTGCCCTATCTCAATCTCTTCTATTGACTGCTTAAGAACGCACCCTAATACCGGATTCAAGGAAGCCGTCAAGCCGCGATACTGTTGCTTCCGTTAGCGGATGCAACCTGCGCTCGAAAATGCGCCCTTAGCGTCAACCAAGCGTCAACCATCATGCAGTCGTCCCCCAGAGACGATACGTTAACTTGCGCGCGCACCGCAGAGTAAGTCCTCATTCCATGCTGAGGAACGCGAGTTGAGTGCCCAATGCCGTTGTAGAATGTCCTGGGAGACGTTCTTCCGGTCACGTTGTGAGGTGCTCGGTGACGGTCCCGATAGCGCACCGTATGTCACCAAGGGGTAAAAAGTACATGGTTCGATGCATGATACATCACAGCTCTCATAGCGCCTTGCAGCGACGCACTCCGCTGATCCCGATTGCGCACTACGTCACACGCATGGTTTGATTACATACATGGTTGGTGGAACCGAACACATTCATGATACTCAGTCAAAGAATGACACTTGTACCCCTTCGCCGACTTGTCCCCAAACGTCCTGTTCCATCAACTGCCGACTGATGAAAAGCTCGCGAATAGGCGCCCCTCGTTCTCTCCTCACGCGCAAGAGGTTCATAAAAGCAACGTCCACCTGTGGCTCATGTTCCACTTGCAAAGGTTGCTCTTGATGCGGGTCCATCTGCACTCCCGCATGTAAGACCACGATGTTCAGTCTGGGAAGTAGCGCAAATTGGCCATCAGACTCGAGGTCAGAAGCCTCAACCAGTGCAGCGAGCAGAGGAGAGCTTTGTTGATAGGGAATAGCGATGCGCTCGATGTTGGGAGAGGGTAGATGTCGGAGCCAGGTGACAATCATGTACATGTCCATGATGTTTGGTGCGAACGATAACGCCTGAAAAGTGTCAGGCCGTACGGGAAGTAGGAAGTCGGGTGCTGGGCGACTGGTGCGGATGTTCACGCTCCCGCGCATGCGATCGGTTGTGTTCTCGTTGGCGTCGAGGTCAAGGGGCGAATTGTATCTCATTTCCGGCCATACGCGCACCCACTCTTCCCGTGAAGAGGACACTGAACGGCAAAGACTCAGAGCGTTATGAGAGCAATGCAGTTCGCGGAAGGGATGAGCAAGATCGTTGCTGAATAACGCTTGTATGATGATCTCGCCTTCATCATCCAGGGCATTTTCGAACTCTTCATCTATCTCTGCTTCAAATATGACGGTCGTGTTGGGAGCAGCCCTGAATCTGTCCCAGAACCTGCTGAGGATAGGTAGCAGATCCGGAGAAGTGCACCCGAACCGCATCACTCTCAGAGTAGATGTGAGCGTCGGAGGTTGTAGAAAATTTGGATGAGGATTATCGCTCGGTACGATGTTCTGCAAGGAAAGCTCCTCCAGAAGAGGGAACGAGAAAAGGAAGTTATTCAAATGTGAGGCTTCGGGGAGAAAGCCCATGTCTTCGGCGCTGTCTTCGGTTCCAGGCATCTCTATGCGAAGCCTCGTCACATTCGCGGCCGTGAATGGTGTGCCCCAATAAGGGAAACAGCTTAGGAGTGTCAAGCTAGTGAGAGATGGCATGCGAGTCCCAGTGAAGACAGACGTGTTGAACACGATCCAGTCATTAGGAGCCGACCCAGGGGACAATGACAGAGTGAGGTCTTGAAGAATCGGCGCTAAGTCAGGCCGAATCAATTGTGGAACCCAGCTGTTGAATGTACGAGGATCGGCGCTGATGAAGAGACATCGCGTGCGTTCCATGATCGATGGACAGAGCCAATCGTCGATACGAAGCCCCTGGTTTGGTCTATTGGCCAACCATGGAAAATGGTAGCGGATCTTTAGATCCAGCGGCAACTCGCGGCAGTTATGAAGAGCATTGGTCGCGAGGGTTGGTGGCATGTCCAGGCATCTCAGTTCAGTCCAGAGACCAGCATTGCCGTGAGCAGCCTGTCGAGTAGTCAATAGCTGGTAATGAACGCGACGATTCCAACGAACCTGTCTCCAAGATGTGCATACTTGCGTGACATATATCCACCCCAAGTCGAAAAGTGACTTCGCCTCTTCTGAGGGAGGGTCCGGATGGGTACGAGCGCGTTCGGGTTGCCAATCCTTTTGCGCATGGCGAAATATCTCGCAAAGAAGTTCCATCGGGAGAGAGCAGGCCGTATTCAATGCATTGCGCTGTCTCTTCAATGTAGCGATGGCAGCTGTCGCCGCTTCAAGTTCAGAATCCAGCGAACGTAGGTGAGTGATGCGACCGCATCCTGCTAGATCAGCTCGAGGTCGGACGCTCAGATCGAGGCGGCTCCTTGCGAAGGACGACCATGCATCTCTAGAATGAAGTCAGCGAGCATCGAGATGAAGGCAGGGTACTTTACTTGCTTCGTCTCGCTGGCCTGACGATCTCCGAACACATGGGACGAAGACATGGTGGTGCAGAGCAAGTGCCACGCGGTACACTTTATCGCAAAGTCGTGGCACTTATCAGCAATTGTCTCCGACAGGCGGCATTTCTGTTTTTGATTCACTGGCAGGTATGGGAATCAAAGTAGTTCAGATATGGACAACCGCGACGGCCGTTACTTGGAGGCATGATTGACACAACCTAGACACTGATCGCCGAACTTGCACGAGTATGACAGCCGCAAGCAATCGCAGTACAGTCTGGTACAGTATGGAAACAACATGCGATGGTGCTGATGCTCTATGACACGATTCACGAAGATGTGCAACGGTCATGACGCGGGAGCGCCCTCCTCCGCCTGGCGCGCGGCACGACGTGCCTTTTTTGCCGCATTTGCAGCAGCAGCTTTGGCCTTCTTCGCCTCCGCCTGCGCCACCTGGAAGTAAGAGTGAGACGAGGATTATAGAGAAAGATGAGCTCGCGAACCTTCTCTTCCTCTGCTTTCTTCTTCGCCTCCTCCTCGGCCAGACGCTTGGCCTCCTCCGCCTTGGCCTTCGCAGATGCAGCGCCGCCAGCACCGGTCTTGCCCTTCTTCTTTGCATCGCGTGCTGCCTTCTCTTCCTCCTTAATACGCTTGATGCGAGGGTCCACAGAAAGAGCGTTGTCGACAATGGTGCGGAGACGCGCGATGTCTTCCTTCTTGCGGCGGGCACGCTCAGTTTTGTTCTTCTTCTCAGTGTAGCGCTTGTCGTCGCGGCTGACTCGGGCATCAGAGGCGTGAACGATATATTTCGAACATCTCGAAGATAGACATACCTATCGCTACCTTCGTTGACCTCCTTATCGAGGTACTCGAAGCTGCGCCATGAGTCGAACTTGTACCAGAAGTCGTAGAAGCCCTCGACCTGCTCCTTGCTGTCGTCGAAAGAGCCCAGCATGGGGACAGGCTGCGTGCGGCTGAAACGGGCCTCTCGCTCGAATACAGGGCCGTAAAGCTCGAAGAAAGCGGCGTTCGGGTCTTTTGCCTTGGAGATCTCCTTGGGTTCAGGAACTTCGCCCTCGATGGCGATCAAACCGAAGTCGACTGAGTCGTACTGGCGACGCTTTTCCTTGTTGGAAAGCACCTCCATCGCTTTCGAGATGCATTTGAAGAACGCATCATCGTTCGTCTCGCCGACGGCGCCAGCCTTCTTATCTGGGTGGTGCTTGAGCACCTTTTTGCGATCTGGAAAGCTTCAGTCAGATATACCACGGGAGATCGAATATAAGGACTTACGAGCGATTTTAATCTGCTCATCAGTTGCACGCCAGCGCAGTTTTGACAAGCCGAGCACCGCGTAGTGATCTTGTTTCTAGACCATAGCTTAGCTTAGTAAGTGGATTACCATTCCATCAGGGTCTTCGAGCGCACCTTCCACTCCTTGGGGTCGAGCAACAACAACTCCGGCGATTCGGGCTCGTCGCCGACGCCGAGATCATCCTCGACACCCTCGCCACCAGCACCCGCACGCTTCGCCTCTTCCTCATCCGCGCGCTTATCAAACTCCTCAAACGACAGGTTCTGTACTTTGCGCTGTATGTGCGCAAAGTACGCGGGGCCAGCAGGGATTAGGCGGCGTTGCGATGGTGCTAAAAGATATTCAGCACGTGTCACTGGGATATAGTTGAGAATATATACAGGAAGCATTGGATGAGCTAGAAGATGGGGTCCAGCTTTCGGGTAGTGCCGGCACGGCAGTGGGTAACAATACAGATGCAGGCATGGTGAGGGATTGCGGAAACCTGATCCGGCGAAATCACCGCCAATTGAACTTTTTATTCGGGTCGTGGGAACATCTTAACGCGTCCCTCGTGATGTTGGAATGCGTTTGGACCCGCGCCGTGACGGACGCGACTTGGTTTCCTCCGCCCACCATGACCACCAAAAATCTTGCAGGGCCCTCCAGACTAGCGCACACATCTATCAATGCATCTACTCCCTTGCGAAAGAAACGTGTCTATCGCGATGAAGATATCATCGACCTCACAACACCATCTCCTTCGCCCCCGCAGCGGCGACGTGTGCTGCCGAACCCTTCAACACCTATCATCATAGCCATGGAATCGGAAGAATCGTCGGATGAGAATATTTACCCACCCTCTGCACCTATACTTCCTCCCGATAACGTCAAACATCCTACCAAACCCAAGCCAATCGCAAGCAATTACGGAACCACAAATACCAAGGCGAAGAGTTCACTACAGAAGCCCGCAACCACCCGATCACGACCAACATCTAAGCCTGAAATTTCAAACTCGCCATTGTACACATATACAGAATATACGCCACGCCCTGTTGTCCTTTATCTTCGTACGGAGGAAGAAGTCGACGAGGCTTTAGAGGGATTAGACGGGTGTGTGGCGTAACCTCATGCAGCGAGAGCACCCCGTAAGAAGATATCCCAGTCCTCTAGGCTTCGATTTAGAATGGAAGGTATCTAGAGGACGTGAACGCCCAGCAGCCTTAGTTCAGCTGAGCGACGCGTCCATGATCTTGCTTATACAAGTCACTGCTATGCCTCGTGAGTAGTCAGTCACCTTCAAGCATCAGCCTAGGCCTAACGTGGATGAAGGGTTTCCTCCTAATCTGAAGGTACGGTGCTGTTGCGCCGATTCTCCGTGCGCGGCTCTTAATCAACAACCATGGCAGGCCGTGATCGAGAACCCCGCGATCCCGAAGCTGGGCGTAAACATCCGCAGTGTGTAGCCTTTTTCCATACGTTACGTCCACTCACATGCACGTCTCAGACGATGGAATGAAGCTGTATCGAGACTACGGTGTACTGGCCCGCAACCTTGTTGAACTTGGAGCACTTGCGGGCGCGGCGGACTCACGGTTCGCTGCCGCTTATAATCGACCAATAGTCTCGCTCGCCAAGGTCACCGCCTGGTACATGCATCGAACGCTCAGTAAGGGCCCTGTACGAACAAGCGACTGGGAGCGTCCCCTGAGTCGAGAGCAGGTACAATGTGAATGGTGGTACTTGATCTTCGCTTTGACCGTCTCTGATCGCCATTCATAGATGCTGCAAACGACGCACATTGCGCTATCATGATATACAAACGCATCATGGCTATTGCCCGGAAGGAGAATATTACTCTTGATCCTACGTCATTCTCGTCTGACCTGGCGAAGGAGCTTGAACCACCACCATCTGCCGCCATCCCTGAATCACCCTTTGAGGCCGCGGCTACTGCTGCGGCTCCCACCGCTGCCAAACCTGCATCTCGCGCAACAACAGGCTTGAAAGTCAAGCCCCAGCACCTTCGTGCATATAATCTCTGGCGCGAGGGGCACGGTCTACTCGACATCTGCATCAAACTTCGTAGTCGTGCAAACCCGTTGCGCGAGAGTACTGTCATGTGAGTGCGTCTCAATAACTTCAGCGGAACAGAACGTTGATGTTGCAACCCAGTACATACGTTGTCACCGCACTCGAGACGGACCCGGAGCTACCATTTTCAATGACACGCTTGCAAACGCTGGTGAAGGGTGAAGCCGGCAGCTGGCATCGACATCGCGACACGATTCTAGCTATGGGCGAGGCCGGACGTGGTCAAGATCAAGCCCATCATTGAACTAGTCTGGGATTACATAGCGGATACTACCTGGCTCATGATCATACGCATCGCACTGTACTTTAATCAGCCATTCTGTCCTTGCCTCTAACACAGCGGGCAGAGGCACGTAACGCAACGATCCCTGTTCAAACTCGTCAGATCAGACAGAACAACGGAGTTCAGATTGAAGTAACTGACGATGAACCCGGATGTCACCACTTGTGGGCCACCCAATGGTGGGGGCCCTTGTGGTAGAGGCGGCAGCGTTCGTGCATCAGAGGCGTAGTCGACCACGCGTCGTCGTTGTGGAGCTGAAAGGGTCGGCGCGAAGAATGACAGAATGTGTAGTATGAGCTCGTTCGGCAGCCGAGGCTGAGGTGGCTGTTCCTCGCCCTGCTCGGCATGCTGTAAGAGGGCTGGGCGAGCATGTCGTAGGAGGATGAGTGCCTCTCGCCCGGTGTTCCTCCCGAGGACCTGATTGCGTGTAGTAGCCTGCGATAGGCGCGCAACCGCTTCGTTCCATATTCGTCGCTCTTCTTCGTCATTCGTGGACCAGTTGGCGTACATCTCGCAACGTGTCAAGTGGAAGTTAGACTTTTCCACAGCGTCGATGATGAGGAAGAGGCCATCACGACCGAGTTCGTTCCCATTCAACGTCAGATGCTTCAAAGAGCGTGCGCGCGGGCTGCCCAAGAACTCGACTATGGTCGGTACTGATTCACAGGTTAAGCCAACGAAAGAGAGGATAAGCTCCTCGAAATGCGGCGAAGAAAGCGTCGCGAGGAACGCGGCGAGAAACTCGTCAGAGAGTTGTTGGTTAGATGATAGGGTCAACCTTCGCAGATGCGAGCGGTTGAGCGCAGACGTGAACGTTGTCCATATCTCTGCGCGACCAGAGAAGACGTTCTATAGCAGCACGTGAGACTACTGTTTTCATCTCGAATGAGGTGGCGCTCGTGTACTCACGTTCTGAAGCTGCAGCTCTTTCAGACCCTTGTTGTCGCAAAGGTATTTCGCCACAGCGAGGACCCCTCGATCACCCAGTTGGGTATTATTCAGGGCGATCTCTTGCATGTAGTCGTGTTGTCGCTTATCAGAGCAAAGGTACTCAAATAAACGGACGCAACCATCGTCCTGAAGGCGATTATGTCCGAGTATGAGACCCACGGTCGGCTTGCGCCTCTGAAGTTCGGCGATGACTTCCTCCACACCTACACAGGGACTGAGCAATCTTACCATTCATACGTGGTGACGCTCATACCCGTCGTTCCATAAAGTCGTCTCTCAGCCCATTCGAGCCGATTCAGACCTGCCATTCGTGGCTTGAAGCTCCATGCGCCGAGCGGTGTCGTCATTAACGCGGGAGAAGCCATCGTTAACGAGGCCAATAGAACCCTGATTGACTGACAGGTTATACTTTCCCAAGTGCACGAAGCGCGGGACCCTTTTCATATAGCGCACGACTCGCGTAGATGACTTGTGATGGGACAAGGCAAGCCTGGGTCGGCGTGGCTGGCACGATTCCGCATGCTTCACACGCGATATCCACGCGGTTATCTCGGACGTAATGAAGAACTGGATTGCAGATGCTAGTGGAGGTGGCATCGCGACTAGGTGTGGTACAGAGGATTGTGCAAGAAGAAGGACATGATACATGCAGTGAGATGTGTGAGATCTAAGAGAGATTACATGTACAAAGAAGTGATCGAAGAGGACGTGGCTCGTGGACTAGAAGAATGAGATGCTTGTAGCGTCGAGAAGAGCGGGCATGGTCCATATCTTCCACCCCTCCATGGCTTTGTCAACCATAAGCTCCTTGATTGGCTTTCCGTACGCCTTGCGTACAGCTAGGAGATCAAGAAACGCCACATGGTTTTGCATCCACGCCTCTGATCCATCCTCTGATCCTTGGCTGCCCATGTTTGCCCCCAACTCCTTGTTCTGAGGCACCAGAGCGTGGAAGATGATGACTTCAAGTTCAGGAAACAGCGTGAAGTGGCCGTCCGATCCGTCATCTTGCACGCTGAGAGCGCATATAAGGGCAAGAAGATCGACGTAATATCCAGCGACGCGACGTATACTTTTTGCCGGCGAAAAGTGTCGAATCCACGCATCTTCGCCGTCGATGGCTGATTTCACTGGGTGTCCTACGTAGATGGCTTCCAGCGTCTCGCGAGGAAGTAGGGGCACTATTGACCCCAAGACGTTATCATTGGGATAGCTGACGTCGAGATGTCTGAAGAAAGTCGACGGGCCGGGCGAAGAAGACTTGAAGAAATTCATGCGCTCGGGTTTGGTTTTCCACTGGCGCCGTGGCCAACATTCACCATAGAGTATAGATACCGACCCGCGCGAGAGAAACAATTCACTGGGTAGTGGCTTGTTCTCATGGGGCGAGAAAAGTAAAGGAACTGTCGCGGTGATATATAGTGCATCATCGGGCCGAGAAAATCGTGTGACGATTGTGATATTGCTTGCAGGCCAAGCACTGTGTTGTTCCAGGAAAGCGGGTATACCGGGCGCTTGGGAAGACTGATTCGCCCTAAGGTCAAGCACGCGTGGCTTCGACTCTCGCGGGACTGGTAGGGGGACGTTGCCGGCTGAAGGAGGAACGATGCCCCACAATGCCAATAATTCGAGGTTAACGAGAGGTGCCAGCACGTTGGTGAGATCAGAGGGAAGGACATTCGGGTCCTCGGGCGTCGACATTAGGAGCCGAGTGAGTCGAGGCGACAAAAGCGGTGAATCCCATCCACATAGAATGCCATACAGCGACAGGCTCTGTAGGCGAGGGGGGCACGATCTTCCCAGGAACTTCGCCGGAAGCAAGCGATGGCTGAAGTTCCCGTCTCCCTCAACTGCAACATTAATGTCGAGCACCTCCAGTTTCGGCATTGCTGGGTCAAGGAGCTCTACCCAACCGGAGAACTGCAATCGCGTGCACTCCGCAATCGTCAACCGCCGCGTACGCCTGTTAACCGGGCCGCAAAGCCAACCCTCCAGCGCCTTTTTCGTCGCCGCACTGCCTTTTATAGTCAAAGACAAGGGCAGAGCCTTAGAACGTGAGAGGATATCCATGACGGAGTCCGGATGGAAGCTCAGGCAATCGAGGTTGGTCCACAGGCAAGGCGTATTGAGGGCAACCTATGTTAATTCAATGAGACTCCGACGGCATCAATCCAGGACGTGGACACACACCTTTCTCCAGGAGCTGCACACTCTCGCAACTGACATCCACCCAGCTCCGTACGTCATACGCTCTCCGTTCAGTCCCGGCTGTCTGCTAGGCTTCCATACGGCCTGAGTGTACAAGAAGATTGACGTCACAACCTCGGTCGGGAGTTTACAGGCCATAGCATGCGCATTGCGCAGAGCACGCGCAGCGAAGAGCTGTTCCTGCAGCACTTCAAGCTCTATGTCCAGGAGGTCGAGTCCGATCGGGGCGACATCGAAGCGGGACCGGAGTACTAAATCCCAGGCATCGCTGATGCACGTCTGTTGGTTTGCATGATAGTGGTTGAAGGGAAAGCAGACTCACCGAGCCGCCTGTCGGTGAGTGGCGTGGGCACTAGATGGGGCGGTCATGGTGGGAAGACACCAGGAGCGAAATCACGACGGCGGTGGCACGGCCGCCGATAGGTAGCACGAGGCTTTCAACTTTTGTCTCAGTGTCGTGTGAAGAGTTTCCGTGACCAGTCATAGGCTACTTAGAACATGATTACTTGCATGCGCCAAAGCTCTGTACAACAGGATGCCGAGATATCATTCAACCGATAAGTGGATATATTCATATAAATGTAAATTAGAAAAACCAAATATGAGTAGTGTCTCGAAGAGCAGGCATTTCCCAAAGATCCCATCCTGACATGGCTTCGTCAACCAAGATATCCTTCACGGGTCTCCCTCGTGCATCTCGCGCAGCAAGAAGGTCGATGAGCGCCGCATTATTCTCCGCGAATGTTGACTCCTGTATGTCATGCTCCTCCGGAGCGTCTGCGTTCTCCGTTATCGACCGCGTATCCTTAGTCGGCTTTGCGTGGAATACGAGGACCTCGAGCGCCGGGAACAGCGCGAAAGAACCCTCCCTATCGGAAGGTCCTGAGTCTTCGATGACCCTGAGAGCACAGATGAGGTCATGTAGGTCGGCATAGAATCCAGCCACACGGTCAACCTTGGTAGCGGAGGCGAAACACTGCGTCCAGGCACGTTCTCCGCGGAGGCCTGCTGCCGCGTCCGAGGTGACATGGAGAGCTCGCAGCTCCGCCAAGTTGAGAAGAGGAAGCTTAGAGACCAGTGTACGATCGGGGTCCATCTTCCTCGTGTCGATATTTCTCTCGAAGAACTGTCGGTCGTACGCGATCAAGGGGAATTGGGAGAGAACGAGTTTCGTCGCCCATTGGCTTGGGGAAGGCTCCTCTCGCAGGTATACTATTGAGATCGCCTCGCGCGAGAGGAACATCTCAGGCCGAACGACCAGACTATGGTGCGGCGAAAAGAGTCTGGGGAGTGTTGCGTCCAGAATGGCGTCGTCCGGATTCTTGAAACGGGCGCACAAGTTGATGTCGCTGGCTGCCCATGCCGGGAACTGGTCGAGAAAGGCTGGTATGCTTGCAGAATACCGCGACGCTGCCCTAAGGTCCAGATCACGGAGTTTAGGCGGAACCGGAATCGGATCTCGTCGCGCATTGGTATGGATCTCGTTCGGGAGGATATGGAACAGCGCTAGGCGATGGATGTTGACCAACGAAGCCAGGGTGCTGACCACCTGGGAAGGAGGTATAATCTGGGCCCTGGTTGATCCATACAAGACGAGGTCGCTGAGAGATGGTGATGTGCTCAGTGATACGGGTGAGGAATCCCAAGCACACATAAGTCCTGTGAAGAAGACCACGCGTAGGTGTGGGGGGCGAGTCCCTCCTAGGAAGGCTGTCGGTAAAAAGTTTGGAGTTGGGTCAGATGAGTGGACTGTGACGGCGATATGGAGCTCTGTAAGCAACGGCATAGCCGCGTATAGTAGCTCTATCCAGCCAAAAAGGTCAGCCCGAGAACCTCCCGCGATGATCAACTTCCTGACGCGCGGGGTGACGGAGCTACATAACCAGCTAACCAGATCATCCCTACTGGCACTGCCAATAATGCGCAGGCTCAGAGGTAAAGCTCGAGAGCGAGAGATGACTTCCTCGACCGACTGGGGGTGAAAGCTCAGGCAATCAAGTTCGCACCACAGGGAGGGTGTACCTAAGACAACCTGGATAAACAGGTCAGAACAAACCGGCAAAACAAGATTTCGGAAGGCGCACCTGTCTCCAAAAACTGCATACTTTCGCAACCACCATCCAGCCAGCTCCATAACGCTCGCGCCGGCCGGTCTTCGTCGAGGGCCACCAGCCCGCCTGTAAGTACGAAAAGACAGCCGTCAAGATCTCGGGTGGTAGCAAACAGGCTGCTGTTCTGGCATTGCGTTTCTGACGGGCGAGCGGTAGTAGCTCTAGTCGAGCCTCAGGCTGGAGTTCGAGGTCCAAAACATCAAGATCGGACATGCCCTCGCAAGCGTCGCTATACGTTGATCGTAAACGAAATGTCGCACAAACGAGTTGGAGGGCTTACTGGACAGCTTGTCGGTTTACGGAGGTGGAAGCCATGATGGTGCAGACGAAGTTCATCCCGACGTCATGCACGGTGATAATATGTGGTGGTTCGGAACGCCGGCCCGCTGTCATATCCGGGTGGTTGAATAAGGTGGAAGATCGATTGGGCCGATGCTTGTTTGCTCACCATAACTATGCGTGTAGCTAGATTCAGCCTAGGTCATTGCCAGGACTTATTTTCAAGCATATTGACATAGCATGTATAGTAAATACGTAGCACCCGACGCCAGAACGCCCTTCAACAAATGAACATGGCAGACTCAACAAATGAAGCAACTAGCCAAGTTCAGCTAGAACAGAAGCATGAATGGAAAGGGTATAACACAACACGAATGGGAGAAAGGATGAATGCCGCTGCCAGTACTGGATGATGAGGTAGGTAAGGTAACAATCTAGATGGATAGAGGCTCGCAGAGCGTCTGAGTCTTGGCAGTGTCTCGTTCTAGGCAAGCGGCGACATGGAGATAATGAAGCGTATGATGGGCGCATGCAAGGTACATGATGAGAGGCGGTAGGGATCCGGGAGTAGGAATGCGGTGTACACGGAATGGGCGAATCTACAAGCTGAACCATGAGATGAGCTTCATGGTGCCCCAGATGCATGCACCCGAGATGATGGGCAGGGTGAGGTTGTCATCGAGCGAGCCGAGATCTGCCGAAGAATCGTCAGTACACGCGATCGTTTATGACAGCCAAACGGGGAACTAACCGAGCGCCTCAGCCACAGCCGTGCAAAGCCCGGCGATGACAGAGATGATCGCCAGACCGACCCAGCCACCGGAGTGCAAACTCGGTACACCCTGCTCGCGAAGGTACGCGCGAGAAGCATCGGCGACAGCGCTGTGGTCGACACCGAATGCGCGGACACCCTCCTCGAGCGACCAGCACGCGGCGATAGAATCGTACATCGGAGCGAGCACGGCCCAGAAGCCGGCCGTGATGGCTGCGCCAGTGATGGCTGCAGCCGCGAAGCCAGCGAGCGATTTGCGCGGCGCTAGAGGCAGGCCGAGGAGGCTACGCGGGAGTGGAGGCGTGTAGCGGCCCCAGAGACGTCCGAAGGTGGACGCTGCTGTGTCTGCCCACGAAAGGCTGCGCGGGTCGCGTAAGCACGTGTTATCGCGAATAGACGCTCACGCGAGCTCTAAAGTTCGAGAACTCACAGGAGAATAGACACAGTGGCTATATCGAGCGGGTAGAGGGAGAGTACCCATATGACGCCAATCATGTACCAGATCACACCGTTGGACCTGGTCTAGGTGGCAGAGGTGAGTTAGCTCTGGAGTGTGACGATGGCGGTGAGCGCACGCGAGTCGACGTACCTTTTCACTATCGCGCATGAGGAAGCCTAGAAAGGCCTCATATAGGCGCTCGAATGCGGGGAAGTTGAGGCGGAGGATGTCTGCAGGGACGATGACGCAGAGTGCGCCGGCCAGGGCGTAGACAACGTGTTGTGGAGATCCATTCGTAGCATAGAGATACAGCGTGAAGAAGCCTGCAATCACGAACCCAACATCAGAAACGATACAGTTGTGTTCTATGAATGGAAAACATACCGATGGAAGAGTGCAAGATCTTCCTCGGGATCTCCCAGTCAATCGGTTTCGCCTCCGCCTTCTCAGCAACAACAGCTGCGACGTGACCGTTGCCCAGCGGCTCGTCGGCCTCGTCCGAGACCTCGGCGACCGTCGGCTCTGGGACCGAAGTCGTTTTGGACTTGCGCTGACGGATCGTGGGCCGTGTGGGGACTGGGTGGACGTGGGCCGGGGTCGCGAAGGATATTTTAGGGGAGGGAGAGCGGGTGAGGGAGCGCGAGGAGGAGCGGGAGGAGCGCCGGACGGGCGCGTCGTGGTTCATTGCGGAAAAGGCGTCTGGGACGGGTGCAGTCATCGCGGGTCGTTAGTCGGTGGAGGTCGGGTGCAACCACAGCAGCAGTCGGCGTCCACTTCAGGGACTCTCCCCGTTCGTTGTTCCCGTAATGTCACACGTGTTCCTGCCGTGACTGTCACCGGCACCAGTACCGTTGATCTTCGGTCTTCTGGCCAACTGTCCCAACCGGGTTCTAGCTTGGAGTGTTACCTTACTAGAGTGATTTCGGTAGCGAGGGAGAGGCGACAGCTGTGAAATATATCAGACACCGCGGCTCGGCCGACCACAAAGTTCGCGCTTCTTTCGCCTCAAGCCCGAGGAGATGCTTTGCTTCTGACCACCATGTACTTCATTGACCCGCAATCTTTACTCTGCCTTGCATTGAGCCACCCTTCAACGACGGAAATGAAACTTAAGCTCGTGGTGTTTCCCGGAGGGTGAACGACGATCAACACGTACCACCTAACAGGCGCAAGGAGTCTCGGGACGTCCTGGACTTTCCTAGAGGCCTCCGCACCTCTCTCTGTCGGCGGATGAAGCTCTCGAGCCTGATACGCGATGCCTTCATCCCGCCACTACGGCTTCGATAGGTGGTCATACGTTAGAGCGATAGGCCACCTGTGCGCCCTCAAGATAAAAGCTCGTCACCTTGAACGGCGATGACCCGGTCCATACATGGACTCAATACGCGTCTCCGAAGCCATACCTACTACCCCCCGTAAGCCGCCACGATCGTGATACGAGTTTGAAAGATGCGCCGATGAGCGATGACCTTCGTTCACTCTTGCTAAGATCATCATGATGCGAATGGAATGTACCCGACAACGAATGTACTTCGGTAATGGACGGACTCGTATTGGCCGCAGATGTTACTGAAGTTATCTAGGCGTTACTGTGATACCATTTCAAGCGGACGGCTCATACACTTCACAATGTTCACATCTTCGCTGTTCCGCCAGGTACATCTTCTCGACTCTGCCATCCCCTTCTCCCGTGTTGACCATGCACTGCAGGCTCTCGAAGGACCAACTGAAGATACGCCATAGCTTTGGTCCAGTGTCTACAAGCTCCGAGCGTCTCTTGTCTGCCTTTTTTGACATTGACGACGCCCACGTCCGACGACTCGTGGCTCATACAGCCTATGGGCGAAGTCAACGGCACTATCACCGAGCGCCCAGCTCCAACTGAAGGGTGCCTACAAATACGGATCCTCGCTCCATAGAAGACCATCCAAGCTCGTCCCTCGCAAACATGGGCGCTGTCGATCCCACTTACCCCCTGTTCCCTATCGCTAGCATTATCGCCGCGGCGTTATTGCTCGTCGTCCTGATGACCGGGCTCATCCGGAAGAGCTGGAACCTGGGCGTCTTTTTCCTGAGCTTTTGGCTATTCCTGATGAACCTCGCCAACGCCATAAACACGATCGTGTGGGCCGACAATGCAGACCTCAAGCTGTATGTCTACTGCGACATAGGTAAGCACAGGGAACCTCGCCAGGTCGCTAGCTCGTCTGACATTGTGCACCAGTATCGCATCTCCAGATCATCGGCGTTGTGGCCAAGTCGACGACGACATTCATCATTGTCCGGCGGTTATATCTCATCGTTAGCCATCAATCCGTCGAGCCATATAGTAAGCGGACCGTGCGTTCTCAATCCACACCTCATGCATACTGTCTGAACCATCGGCTGATAGCATCGTTGGAACTTGTTCGTGGAGTGGACACTGGGAGTGATATTCCCGCTCATAGTTGCCGGACCCGTATGTAAGTCGGTCCCCGATGACATGGACAGGCGGCCGTTGCTCACCTCCATTTCATCGTCAAGACTATGTCGTTCAGGCCGAACGCTTCATAGTCATACAAGGCTTCGGGTGCAGGGACGTCATCCTTGACTCTGTGCTCACGTTCTTGTTGATGGAAACCTGGTCGATCATCTTTCCCTTGCTCTCCATCTTCTTCTACTACCGTGAGCCGTATTCCGATGCGTTCCTCCGGTGCTGCCACTCACTGGCCACTGTATCTTCCAGCGAAGGTGGTCTATACCTTCTACCGTCACAACAGAGCCGTCAACGGGTTCTTACGCAGCAACGACTCCGTCTCACGCTCCACCTATTTCCGCGTGCTCGCCCTCGCCAGCATCGACATCCTCATAACCTTTCCTTTCGGCTTGACCACCTTTATACTCGGCGTTCTCTCGGCCTTACCCGATCCACCATTCTACATAGGCTGGGACATCCTGCATACCGACTGGGCACCGAGCAGCACTGCCTATTCGGACTGGATGTGGAGTCCATGGGCGAGCGCGTCATTCTACTTCTCCCTATGGACGACACCTGTCCTGGCATTCACTATCTTCGGCCTCTTCGGGTTGTCGGGAGAGGCTCTCGCTTCCTATCGGCATGGTCTCCGTACGATCCTCCGCTACTTTGGCAAGAAGACCTCTGTGCGGACGCGCGATAGTACGACAATTTCGGGGATGGGAACGATGGAGTTTGGTGAGCGTACTCGAGGGACCGTGACGATCCGGGGTGCATTGACGTACGTCTCTCACTGTCGCATCGTCAGAAGACTATCTCACTGATGCGACTTCATGCAGCTCGCAAGGCTCTGATTATATCATTCCGGCTTCTTTCGAGACTGACAAGAGCCCAGAGAATAGTGGAGGGCCAGAGCACGAGACGTCAGATGGAGCCGAGGACCGCGAGAAGGCCGTAGCAATATGAGGCGGAGAACCAGAATGCCTACCCGTTCGAGAGCCACGTCGCGCTATACTATAAGACTTAGCATACTATGGAAGTGTTTCTTCAAGTCCTGCTTGCGCCATGGCTGCGTGTGGATCGAGCAGACGAGATCGTGAGGATTCGGCAAATCGGGCCGGTGGCCGAGGAGGGAGCTGCGCTGAGTTCCTCTTTTGCTTCGTGCCACCACCCGGTGATCTATCCCTTATGTAGCCAGCCTCTTGACTCCTGATATATGTGGCGTATCATGGATGATAGCGCCGCGCTGGCGACATCATGATCTATGTTTTCAAAATCGTCGTCGACCCGTCTTTTGACGAAGTTGACGGCATTCAAATCTGGGCCTTGTCAGCATTGGTTCTCCGATTCCTCCAACATCCCGAGCCACATGATACGTTCCCTTATGAGCGGTAAGATGTATCAGCCTCAACGTCTATGCGTAGCTCATTAAGGCCCTAGGGTATGTACTGGACTATGTTGCAGAGCGGCAACGACCTCAAGGCGAAACCAGTCGACGGCGAAACATACAAAGTCCCCATGGCACTGCTCCCTCGTATCCGACGCTCTCGGTGTTCCGGAAGATTGCCCCTTCTGCCCAGTTACTCGTGGCCTACCGAATAGAGCTTCTATTGTGTAACTCACACCTCGATCTCCTCAACCTGCATCGCATTAGAGCTTCGAACGACTCGGTGGGCTGCGATCAGCCCCAGATGCCACGAGCCATTCAACCTTGCCGATCTACTTACGTTTCTCTTGATCGAACATATTTATTGCGGCGCTGGAGTCGAATCCGACTTGTCCGGAGGTACCGCAATCACTGTAGCTATCCGAAGTTACGCTTCTACGTCGCCTCCGTATCTATACCAGACATATGCGTCTTGATCCGACGGAAGAGAACTCCTACATAGCTACCTGGCTCAAGAGATAGGTGAGGTTGTATCTCGCCAGATGGGCGCGGCTGACCCGACTTATCCCCTCTTCCCCATCGCCAGCTTCCTCGCTGCAGCGCTCCTTCTGCTCATCCTGTTATCCAGATTCGTCCGCCAGAACTGGAACCTCGGGGTCTGCTTCCTAAGTTTCTGGCTCTTTGTAGTAAACGTCATCAGCGGCATGAATGCCATCATATGGTCAGACAGCAATGAGATCAAGCTGTACATCTATTGCGACATTGGTAAACTCCGCGAAGCTAGGTCATGACGCGTTCAGCTCATCTCTGTACATCAGTGTCTCATCTGCAATTGATGAGCTTCACGGTTCAGTCGTCCGCAACGCTGATCATTATTCGCCGGTTATACACCATCGCCAGCGTTCAATCCGTCGAACCTCCTAGTGGAACAGCTGTATGTGTGATCTGTTTGCTCAAGCATCATTCAGCGACTGAGGCCATCTTAATCGATAGAAACAATGGGATGTGAGTATAGAATGGATACTAGGTTTCCTGTTTCCTATACTGGTTGCTGGGCCCTTATGTAAGTCACTCTGTCGGGGACAAAGGCCGGAGCTCAATACGAACACTAGATTATGTGGTACAGGCCGCCCGCTTCGGAGTCGTGTCAGTCCAGGGATGCGTGTATATCATCGACGATTCAGGGCTGTCGTACCTACTTCTTTACACCTGGCCCATCCTGTTTCCGCTAATTTCGATACTAGTCTACTACCGTGAGTCCCACAGTAATACTCGACGGCTCCCCTTGACAATTATCTATTTCAGCGAAAGTTGCCTACACATTCTACCGCCACAACAGGGATGTCAACCGCTATCTACGCACGAATAACACAATCACACACTCCACCTACTTCCGCGTTCTCACCCTGGCCAGCATTGATATCCTTGTCACTCTACCGCTTGGTGTGACAGTGTTCGCATTCGCGATGGTGTCGGACCGTCCGACTTGGAAGCCGCTCTACCCCGGCTGGGACTATGTGCATGTACACTGGGCACCATACAGCTTTCCCGACGATGCAAAAGCCGCGCGACCTGTCGCGTTGGCCAGCAAGTTCTTCTTCCTGTGGAAGCCGCCTGCACTCGCCTTTGTGATCTTCAGCCTCTTTGGTCTGACGGGAGAGGCCATTGAGTCTTACTGCCAGGCTCTGCGTTACATCGGCCTTTGCCTCTGCTTCAAGCAGAAGGTAACCTCCCGGAAGCAGGGTGATCTCGATCCTTCAGCCCTTGCGGCGATCGAGCTCGAGAGGCATCCACAAGAAACCGCGCAGACTGCGACCATGTATGTTTCAGAGATGCATCGTCGTGTTCCGACGTACCACTTACTCATACCTCAGAGTTCGAGCCGGCTCCATCACTGCCTCGTCTGAGGCGGAGCAGTGGGGAAACAAACGCGTCCATTCTGTTTAGTCAGCAAATAGTTGGACGGGCAGCGCAATGTGTAGGGCCCGCCGCTCTCGATGGTCTCATGAATGGGCCGACATGTACCGTGCTTATATATCGTACCGTTCAGACGTTCAAACATTGTTGAATCCAGTGGGGGAGGGCGGCATGCACTTCGGTATAGTCCCGCCGATTGATAGGTGATACGAACAACAGGGACAGAGCACGACATGCATGGGTGGATTGATGCTGATGTAGATAACGACGGAAGAACACGAGACAGATGGAAGGGATGGATGCATGATTATGTGAGTGGACAGGCTAGAAGGGGATACCGGCGGGATCTATCAGGCTGAGTCAGTAAAGGAGAAGCGATGCGAGGTAAAGGTGAGGCACGCACACGACCAATGATAATCGCTCGCCGCCAGATCCTGACAAGAAATAAGATATAACGGATAATCCAATATGCTAGAACGGAACAAAGGCCCTAACGCCACAGCGTCGATCAAGCCTCGGCCATAGCATCCTCCCTCTCCGCCGCCGCCACTGCCGCCTTTTCGTCCTCCTCTAGCCAGCTATCCTCAACCGTGGCCCTAACCCTCCGGACGTATTCCTTCATGTTCTCACGATATAACTGCGCCGCCTCCGCGTTAGCTGGACTGTTCGGGTTCGGGTCGTGCAGCAGACTCTGGATGGAGGTGAGGATGGCGGCAACGTCGTAGGTGGGCGACCATCGGTTCTGGAGAATATCGAGACAGAGCTCGCCATTGGCATACACATTTGGATGGAACATTCGAGAGAGGAATTTGACGGTGGGAGGTTTGTTGGGGTATGATTCGTCGAATGTGAGGACGAGCTTGAAGGTGCCGTCTTCGAACGGTGTCTCTGCTGCACGCGGGCGTCAGATCGCTGTGGCACGATATTTAGTATCTCATTTACCTGGCCCAAAGATGACAGCGTTCCAGAGCATGATGTTGTCCGGGCATGGGCTGCCGGAGATGCCGCCGGGAGGGTCGCTGGCCAACCGCTTAAAGTCGCGAATAAGACGCCGCCTGCAGTTCGTAGACTACCACAACATGAGATCGCAACTCGTAACATAGTATAGTATATCCACGTACCATGTTTCGTGGAGGTGAAGGTGGTAGGGAAGAGAGGAATGCTGGTGGTTGGAGAACAAGGTGTGCAACCCTGGGCCGGCGGGCACGCAGACGACGCCCGAACTGGTTGTGGTTTGTCAGCCTGATTTGGGTTGTCGCGGGGTTATCCGGGACTTATCAAATGATGTCACCGCGGAGGTCGCGTCTCGCGTACGGAGTTTGTAGAGCGCGTTCGCTACCTCCATGCACGGCGTTTCCCCTAAGCATACTCTATTGAGAACGACGCCCAGAGCTGGACCTTCGAAACTTTCCCCTCGGAGACACATCTCGTCTACGCCTGCATCTAGAGCAACGCACTATGAGACCCTCTCTGTACCCACACACGCGCACTTGAATCAGATCAAGGTGAGTTCATAGCGCTTATTATTCAATGAACACGTATCAATCATGACGCATAGTCCAGCTTCTATAAGGCAAACACTACTTTGGCTATGCCCTCGACGTCGCGCTGATTCTCGTCTTGCAGCTCAGTAAGGAGCTTCACCCTGACCTCAATAAGGACCCAGACGCAAAGGAGAGGTATCATGCAGTCACCGAAGCGTACTCCATATTGAGTGACGGCCAGAAACGGTAGGATTACCTTTGCCTCCAGCATACTACCGTTGCTTAGCGATGCCTCTACTCTCCAGACGCGCATACGACCGCACATTGCACCCGTCCGACTCCTCCTCTCATCCCCGCTCACATTCAGCATCTCGTTCGTCCTCAGGCGCCTACCATGCAGAGTGGGCATACAACCATCCCCAACGCGGTGCAACGTATGCCTGGGCAAATCGTCGGAACAGACCTCCACCAGGCTGGCACGTACATGATAAACACGCCCGACATCAGCCTCCGCATAGTAGGCACTATGACCCGACTGCTGCAACCAGTGCAAGTGGCGCAGGGAAGAAAAGCGATGCTTGGGAGCCACCACGTACGGGATGGGAGAGGACGAGGGCGGACGAGATCGAGCAACTTTCGACATTCAGCCGCTTTGGGCAGGTTACGGGCCTGCTGATAGTTGTGGGGATGCTGGCGAACTTCTTGGCTAATGTATGTCCATTCGTCTTGCGTTCAGTCGATGATAAACTAACAGGCTCTAGAAATGAGGAGGCACGGTCACAATACACTAATCACCGCCATTGTAATACTATACTCTCTTTGATCTATACTGCCGTGGATCTCGTGCTTCACTCTGGTCCTACATCCGGGTGGCGTCACTTCTTCGACGTCACCCATTGGTTCACACTTGTAAAATGGAGTCAGATCAGAGGACGCCGGATGCGCGGTCGCGGGTGTCTGGTCTCTCCATCACCCCATGTGGTATAGACACTCTTGCCACTACTCATGCATTCTCCTTCTTGACCAGGTCATTGTACCTCTCTCCCTCAGAGACACTGCTTCTAAAGCTCTTGTCGGTCACTGGAGAGGGCAGGCCGATGTCCATAAAATCCGAGGAATGTGAACTGCCAAGCAAACATCAATACATGCGTTTGTACTCGGCTGACGAAATAAGCAATACGTACGGTGCCGTGTGCGTGGTAGACTCTTGATGACACTCTCCAAACCGGATGGTGTCCATCGTGGAGGAGGCAACACAGCCGTCTTGTAGTGGCTTCAGACCGACCCACCGGAGGGAACGACGTATGGCGCTGCGATATGATGCGAGAGCTTCACCCGATAGCCCAAAGAGGCCGAAGATGACGAACGCGAGCACGGGCCACGTCCAGAACGAGAAGTATTGCGACGCAGCCGACGCAGGATCCGCCGCCCAATCTGGATATAGGAATCCTGCCGGCTCCCAGTTCGTGTGTACGACCTTCCAACCCGGGTAGACGGTCAGATTCGGTAAAGCCGAAAGTAGGTTCAGGATGAAGTAGGTGATGCCGACGGGAAGCGTGATGGCGATGTCGATGCTCGCTAGGAGAAGGACGCGGAGGTAGACTGTGCGCGAGACGGCGCCGTTCGTCCGTAGGAAGTGATTGACGTCCTTGGTGTGGCGGTAGAATGTGTATGCCACTTTTGCTGATCTCGCGGTTGTGAGTAGTCGAACATGGCAGAGTATAGCTATGAGTGACTCACGGTAGTAGAATAGCACCGATATCAAGGGAAATATGACTGGTATTGTGGGGATGAGTAGGATAGTCACGACCGAGTTGACCTCAGCGTTGGCGCATCCGAAGCCTTCCCAGATCACAAAGCGGCTAGTCTGTATGCTGTAGTCTTTGGAACATGATCGGTACGGAAGATTCTGCCATCGTGCGAGCAACTCACAAATCGGGCCGGCGACGAGAAGAGGTAGAACCACTCCCAATGTCCACTCTACGCACGTATCCCAACGCTTCTATGAACGTGATGGGTGTCAAAATCGGCTTTGCAGGTCCGCGGAAAACAGGGCCTCACGCACAGCAGACTTGCTCGGCGCATCGACTGATTGAAGACTGGCGATGAGATACAGTCGGCGTGTGATGATGAGCGTCGCCGTCGATTTGATGACGAAACCGATGATTTGAATCCGGGATACTGACAAGCAAGACTCATTCAACGATAGGCCTCTTGGAACCGTATCACAATAGTACCTACCAATGTCGCAGTAAACATATAACTTGATGTCCGCGTTATCTGACCATAGGATCGTGTTCATGCCATTCGTTAGGTTCATCACGATGAGACAGCAGGTGAGCAATCCGACGCCAAAATTCCATTTAGTCTGCCGCGCGAGCCCATTCAACATGAGCAGGAGCAGTGAGGCGGCTGCAAGGAAGCAGACAGCGGGGAGTAGGGGGTACGTAGGGTCGATCGGCGTGCCCATCATGCGGCCTTGAAGTCGAAGATGCTTGCCCATGCAGTCGCACCAGCCATTTGTATGGCGACAGCCGTTGAGTCATACTACCTCAGTCCCATGAGAGGCAAATCGAGACCGCCTTACCCCTCGAAAGAAGGCATGCGAAGTGGCTCGGGACGTTGGAGGAATCGGAGAACCAGTGCTGATAAAGCTCGGATTTGGGTTACCGGCGCCAGCTCTGTCAAACGCTGTGTCGGCTTCGCAGGCCTTCAGGACGCGTAACTTGATGAAACTGATACAGCCCTGATCTTCATGCTACATTACGCATAGCAGGAGTGCGAAAGGAATAGGGTGCATATGGGACGGATTATCGGGTGATGGTTCCAAGCGAAGGACAGATTCGGCGCTCTCAACGACGGCTTCGTGTGCCGTCACTCTCCGGCCCGGACTGCCGGATGCCCCGTGTTCAGCGGTTCGGGCTTGGTTCGGGGAGGTCGTGAGTAGCATGTCGGCCAGCTTTCTCGCCAGCGAGCGCTAGTACTGCTCCATCGAACCTCTCGTCCAGCTTGCGTGTACATCTCATGCCATGATGAGCCATCCGTCTTGGGTTCTTGAGTAGATGGACACATATCGTCGCTGTACTAAAGCGCGACATCTATCGCTACACGATCTACCACGCCCTTTGCTTTCAAATAGTGCCTAATCATCGAGCTCAACAGCAGTCCCCAACGTATCCTTCCCCTGCTTCTCCTTTTCCCTCGCCAACCTCCCCCGTCCCCTCGCAAGCTCAACCTCAGCCCACTGCACCCTCCCCCGCGCAAGCACCTTCAACTCCCCATCATAAACCTCCAAGAACCTCTCTGTCTCCCTTTCAAACTCCTCCTTCGACCTGTGAGCCAACACATCCCGCACGCCGGCCAAGAACGAGGATAAGACGGTGATGTTGTGCGTCACGAGGAATGAAGAGGCGGACATCTCGTGCGTGTGGAGGAGGTGGTGCAGGTAGGCGCGGGAGTAGAAGTAGGACGTTGGGTACTCTTGTGGGGGGTCGATGGAGCTGTGTCGCAAAACGCTCGTAGGCGCGCGGACGGTACACGCCATGCAGCCGCACTTCGGTCGCGCATCGTCTGGTGGTGCACAGCCAGGTGCGAAACAGTCTGCTAATGGCGAGAAGTCACGCGTGTAGGCCGTGTCGTAGAGGTTGTGCCCTAGATCCCTCTTCGTATTTGCCGCGTCGGAGGAGGACGCGGGTGCGGGGAAGGAGAAGTCGAGCGCCAATCCGACGTCCGCGGCGCGTTGAGCCCAGTGCGCGTCGAACAAGTCCATCCCGACGTCCCGTATCAAGATCAGCATCTCGTGCGGCGATCCAGCTGAGTGCGCTATCCTCGGCTTCTCGACCGGCAAAGGCGCTAGAGAAGCTTGGAGCAAGGGTACGAGTTTGTCGATGGTCGAAGGCGTGGGGACGTTAGGGTTGGAGTCGAGCTCGACCAGCGTGCCACGGACGTTTAGGGATGTTGAAGAGGGCGTATGCGTAAGAGGACCAGGCGGCGAGAGTGCCTTGTGAAGGGGTGCAAGGTCGAAGGTGTAGCCCACTACGCCCTCGTCCAGCGTTTTGAACGGTTTGATCGCGTCGAGCTCCTTGCCGTATAGCTTCTCCTTCAGAGATTCCGCGAAAGCTCGACGCGCTTCCGGAACAATGTGTCCGGCCATGTGCGCAAAGACATTTAGGTGCGGGCGGGAGGTGGGGGTGTCGAGGGGATCTAGTGGTGCGAGGATGTGTGCGAGCCAGGAGAGGGAGCGTTCGATGGATTTTGTGATGCGGCGTTGGGAGGGCGGGATGGAGGTGAACGGTATGTCGGAGAGGGCGTATACGATGTCAGGATCGCATGCCAGGATGTATCTCCTCCAGTCATCGGGTGTGCACTATCGGTGCCACGACGTCAGCGCCAGCTAAACAGTGTATATCCAAGAGGCGTACCTTGCGAACGCCCCTGATACAGAACGCGTTGACGAACCCGGCCTCATTGGATGGCATATCGCGCGTGTCAAATGGATCTCGGAGTGTCATGGACACGACATGTTTGTCGTTTTTGAAACTGAGAAACTTGTGTAGGGCTTTGGAACCGTTTTGGAGCGTGGGGACTGGTGGATTGCTCTCTAGGCTGTCATACACCTAGTAAGTACTACGTTAAGCGAAGCTGCGACAGGCGGATGATCGGACATACAAGGTCTCAAATGGCACATCCAACCATTTGATCGCATCTGTAGCACGGAGGGTGTCGCGCGCTAGATGCGGGACTACGCCTCGGACGGTGGAGGTGATGAGTCCGGGCGTGGGCAATTCTAGGGGTGCTTCGCCTGGCCGGATGATCGACGCGACACCGACTCGAGGTCCGAAGGTAGACTCAGAAGAGCCGGACGAGAGCTTGAATGTAAAGGTGATAGAGTGCTTTGGAGTAGACATGGCCGGAATATGGGTGAGAGCTAATGGTACAGATTTTTCGAGCCAGCGCGAGATCAGAGCCAACTCTACAGCAGTTGACTCTTCTCGTAGACCTGACAGACACCAAGCCTTGTACAGTAGGCCTGATTCAGTGATACGAGTTCCAAATCAGCGATAGGCGCCCAGAGATGGTGACAGCCCGGTCCCGAGCAGTCAAGGGTTGTCGAAAGAAGCGCGCTGCTCTCGAAGTCGCGTGCGGACGCGTCGCAAGTTTCGCACGGCTCGTTGGACCCAAACGCCCACTTCCTCGGCCCACCATGCAGTCGGGTAGGACCCCCCAGTGCGTATTGTGTCTTTCATCATACTATCATTACTCACGTGCGCTCTAGCATCAAAAACCGCGCGCCGGCCGCGATCCAGGTACGCTTTGCTTTGGCATGCGTCTCGAATAGGCACTGACGCACTGTACGCAGATCACAGCCGAGCAACTCTTACGCGAGGTATGGTTATCTGGCGCGTACAGTCTGACGTGATACTCATATACTCGCGGTACAGGCACAAGAGAGGCAAGAGTCGCAATTCCGGGCACCCAAACAACGCGTCGAGGACTTCGAGGAGCTCAACGAGTACCGCGGGCGGAAACGCAAAGAGTTTGAGGAGCGCATCAGGCGGAACCGTGGTAGCATGTGCGTATACCGTGTCTTACCTGACTGAACCATACACTAACATGCATGATCCAGCAAAGAATGGCTACAATACGCCAACTGGGAAGCCTCCCAAAACGAATTCAACCGCGCGCGCTCAGTCTACGAGCGCGCATTGGACGTGGACCCCCGAAGCGTCCAACTCTGGCTGAACTACACCGAAACAGAGCTCAAATCTCGCAACATCCAGCACGCGCGCAACCTGTTCGACCGGGCCGTGACGACATTACCGCGGGTGGACCAGCTGTGGTACAAATACGTGTACCTCGAACAGCTGCTGGGCAACCCCGCGGGCGCGCGACAGGTGTTCGAGCGGTGGATGGCGTGGGAGCCGGACGACAAAGCGTGGCAGGCGTACATCAAGCTCGAGCAGGGGTACGAGGAGTTCGACCGCGCCAGTGCGATATACGAGCGCTGGGTCGCCGTCCGGCCCGAGCCGCGCGTGTGGGTCAAATGGGGCAAGTTCGAGGAGGAGAGGGGAAAGGCGGCCAAGGCGCGCGAGGTGTTCCAGACCGCGCTCGAGTTTTTCGGGGACGACGAGGAGCAGATCGATAAAGCGCAAGCGGTGTTCAGCGCGTTTGCGAAGATGGAGACGAGGCTGAAGGAGTACGAGCGCGCAAGGGTCATTTACAAGTTCGCGTTGGCGCGTCTGCCACGGACCAAGGCGGCGAATCTTTACGCGCTGTATACGAAGTTCGAGAAGCAGCATGGGACGCGGAATAGTCTCGAGTCGACCGTGCTGGGGAAGAGGAGGATACAGTACGAGGACGAGTTGGCGCAGGATGGGAGGAATTATGATGTGTGGTTCGATTATGCGAGGCTGGAGGAGGGCGCGTATAAGGATCTGGTGGAGGAGGGTGCGACAAGTACAGAGGAAGAGGCTGCGTTGGGACGCGTGAGGGAGGTGTATGAGAGGGCAGTGGCGCAGATTCCGCCAGGTGGGGAGAAGAGGCATTGGAGGAGATATATCTTCTTGTGGCTCAACTACGCGTTGTTCGAGGAGATCGAGACGAAGGTATGTTTCCCTTGCTTGATGTTCCCTTTCTTCCGTTCTCACATACTTTCTAGGACTTCACCCGTGCACGGCAGATCTACAAGACCGCGCTTGAACTCGTCCCCCATAAGCAGTTCACATTCGCCAAGTTGTGGATCATGGCCGCTCAATTCGAAGTGCGGAGGTTGGACTTGCCCGCAGCGCGGAAGATGCTGGGTGTGGCGATTGGAATGTGCCCCAAGGAACGGTTGTTCAAGGGGTACATTGAACTCGAGTTTGACGTATGTATATCATGTGCGTTCTGGTGCATCTGAACGGGGGGCTGATGACACATTACAGTTGAGAGAATTCGACCGCGTCCGAACGCTCTACGAGAAATACCTCGAATACGACCCCACAAACTCCACAGCCTGGATAAAATACGCCGAGCTCGAAACCCAACTCGCCGACTACCCCCGCGCGCGCGGCATATTCGAGCTCGGCATCGGCCAGACACCTCTATCAATGCCCGAGCTCCTCTGGAAAGCGTACATCGACTTTGAAGTCGAGGAGGGCGAGAGAGAGAAGGCGAGGGAGCTGTACGAGCGGTTGAGCGGGAGCAGCGGGCATTGGAAGGTCTGGGTCGCGTTTGCGCTGTTTGAGGCGGCGCCGATTCAGGTGCCGAGGGATGAGAGGGATGAGGATGAGGAGGATGAGGAGGCGGAGCCGAAGATGGTTGAGGGGGATGTTGAGCGCGCAAGAGCTATCTTCCAGCGTGGGTACAACGACTTGAGGAGTAAAGGGCTTAAGGACGAGGTACGCTCGGTCTTTCTGGACTTGATTCTTTGTGCTCTTGCTGATGCGCGCGTAGCGTGTGGCACTCTTGCAAGTTTGGAAGAACTTCGAGGAAGAGCACGGTACGCCGGACGACGTCAAGAAGGTCGAAGTGATGATGCCCATCCAAGGCAAACGCCGCTACGTCGACGAAGAGACCGGTCAACTCGTCGAGGGTACGTTCTCATACGCCACTTTCTTGGTCCAAGCGACTGACATTATTCTGCAGACTACGACTATATCTTCGCCGACGACGAACGCGAAACCAACGCCAACGCCTTCAAGCTCCTCCAAGCCGCACACGCATGGGCCGCCAAATCCGGCGCTGGAGCCGGCTCCGGCTTCTTGGCGGACGACGACTCGTCGAGCGATTCGGATAGCGACGACGACGACGATGCGGGAAAGGAGGGTAAGAAGGGTAAGGCGAAGGCGAGGGGAGGAGATAGAATGGAGGAGGATGGAGATGATAAGAGTAGTGTTGCTAGCTCGGAGGGGTAGTGTGACGTGTAACGTATTGCTTTGATGTACTGGGATGTTGCTGTACTTTACAACTGCAGAGGTTATTGGTTGAATCTCTCGAATGCTCCTATCGCGCTCGCAGTCAGCAGCGCAAACCCAACCTCGCGGTAGACGATGGGAGCTGGGGTGTGCATAGGCCGGGTGCTTCACCGCCGGGATTCTTCTGCAAACTTCTGGTCCACGGAAACGTGTACGGTGGCCGAAGATAGATGACAGCTGCAGCTGAAGCACGAGAAATCTATGTTGCATATGGCAGGATGAACCGAGATCCGTACGCTCTCCGCGGCGGGCCGCGATAATATTCGCGGCGAAAATCGCGCAAGCGTTCAGCGCTCCCGGCGGCATATACTCTGCGCCACACATCCGGTTCCTGGTTCACGCGGGCGGGCCGACGAAGCAGCGATCCGCACATCTTCCCTCTCTCGTTCTACCAGATTCAGATTCACGCATACTACGAGAAGGAGAAGCGTCAAAGGACATTATGATTTCCGATGCTGAGCTACAAATCGACAGGTGGCACATGTATAGGTACAATGAGGCGCGGCGCGGTGGCCGGAGAGACCGTGTAGTGATGTGTGTGGGGAGTTGAGGGCTTTATGCCGCAGGCTACGCGCCGCACACGGGCGTCGGTTTCAGACCATCAGACGCACGTCCGTCGATGCACGAGGCCGATATGCGGAGTGGGGAGCGCTTACGGCGACGGCGACGCCTCAGGAGAGTTCGCCACAGGTGTAGGTTCGGGCTTCGAGATGCGGACCTGTGCAGAGAAGGCTTCGGTCAGAAGTGCAGGCTCGAGGCGACCGGTGAAATCGCGTACCGAAGTGGAGAAGATATCGGACAGCTGCGGCTCGGAGCTTGTGCTGGAC